ACTTTCCTGCTAAACCTTACAAGGGTAGAAATATTCCACGATCTATACAAGAGGTGGGCACCCTGCCAGGTAATCTAGTTAGCGCAACATCAACTGATCTGTTCAAAGCTTGGTTGACCAAGTACAATGGCGACCCCAGTGCCACTCATTTGCTACATTAAACCCTGGACGTCTACGTGGTACATGTCACAACATCAGTTTTTCTTTTTGATGTTGTAGGTACTGCACCACACATTTTGACATATTTTTGCCTCACATTTTTTTGGTCTAGCACCACCATCACCGGTCACGCCAGGGCATTGACCCCCTGGACGCTACACCCCAAGAGAGTCATTGTCCAGTATTGTACAGAAATAGACAACAGTATTGAAGACACTAACGTCAAGGCTTTACATGTAGGTACTGGCCGCTGCTTCTTTACAAGCAGCATTCGAGAGAACGAGGGAGCTTGCAGGAAACACCACTGATACACCAGTGGAGGTGGTCAACAAGCTAGCAGCGTTCATGTTCTCTGGTCAGTGTTGTTCACTCAGAAAGTTTCTGTTGTGTCTTTCATTGTGTTTACCGAAGGAAAACATATTGTTTTTGCTACGTTTCTTCTTCTTCTTAAAACAGTAACCTCAATGACAATGATCTGAACCAATGCTGTATCTGTTACCATGGTAAAATTGATAGGTTGGGCTTTTCGAGTTTCAACAGTTATTACTTAGTTTTAAAATAGACATAGAAGAAGATATTTAAATTAAACCAGTACAATAGACATACAGGAGACATGCAATGGTGTAAGCATAAAGCTTTAACAAAAAAAAAACCATGATAGATATATGTGGATGATTCCATGAAACCGTAAGCACAGTCGTGGATAAGTAGTAAGAAATATGTCTGATGCTCCTTTCCTTTTGTACAGGAACTGTGAACGTGCTGGCAGCTTCATCTGTGTTGGCTGAAAAAGGGAAATCGGAGAAACCCTTCACTACAGACCTTGCCTACGTAAGCAAATTGTCCTTTCCTTGTCATCCATACAAGGTGTGCATACGAGAATTTAGCGTTTTAAAAGGCCATGTTGGTAATATGGATGACCTCCTCTGTGAACACCAAAACTGATGCGAGCGTGCGAATAAAATGGGGTTTGGCAAAAATCCACGTGTTCATGAAGGTTGAACAAACGTATGGTATTGCCTACTCTACAAATTCATTTTTTAAACATTTTTGTCTTTTTTGGTTTGATTTTGGCATTCTACGACATTGGTATTGTTTTCCTTTTTTGCAACTTACGGTATATATGCTCATTTTTCAACTGTTTAGTACGATTTACAGTATGGTTGAAATCAACATAGCCTAAGCCAGCTATCTCTGACCACACTGTACCAGAGACGCATTGGGCTATGTAGAAAATTCGCATTTTCAGTAGCAATATCACCTTCTTACGCTCGCTGGCTACCTCCCAGACGTGAGGATATGCACGGTAGAGCGCTGAGGTCTAAAAAAAATATCTCAAATATCATTCAGGTTCAGGATGTCTAGGTGTAGAAACAGCACGTTACCGTTACTTGTTAAGCTACTGAATGACTAACCTCTCCCGCTCTTCTGTATCTCATTGTGTCATTTTATTATTAAAAGAACATGTTATTCATTTATCCATTCATTCACATCTAATTACATAACATCCATATGCATTTGGTTACATATTGCACATTGCACATTGCCAAGTGGAAACTTTAATAACACAGCCAAGAAAAGAGATACACATGGCATGATGCTTCCACACAAGCAAAATACTTACGATTCCATATACGCCCACCCCAAGTGTTAAAAAGCTTTGTAGCATTCCAAAAAATTTACCATATATGGTGCCGTTAACATGTCGAGTATAGACTATTAGCTACCACACACAAACATCGATATTTTTGTCTCAATCTCTGTTGAAAAAACTCGAGCTCTTTTGCATACAGTAGTGCAGTCAACATGAGCATAAAATACATGATTAGCTGCCTAAAAACATACAAAAATTGAAATGTATCCACGTGTTCCAATCCCTAGTGTCAAGAAGCTACGACGATAGCTTTCCAAGCCTTGGACATTCTGGACGACATTTATCTAAACAGGCTGATGCCAGAATTCTCAGATCCAGAAATCTTTGCAGACCACTCCATGTCCAAGGTACAGTCTTGTCTCTTTCTTTTTTTTTGCAATTTTAAACCTAGTTCAATTATTTGATTTTGAAGCCTGGTGAGAAAAATTATTTTAGCAAATAGAGACAATAGAGGACAAAACACACTATTCTGCCAATATTGTTTTATATTAATTAATTAACATAACATAGTATTATTGTTGCATGAATGAACTCTTGACGTTTAAGAAATTAAGAATTTCAGACCAGAAAATGTGTTAATTTGTTTTTAACTTGCATCCCTATTCAGATGTCTCTTCTATCTTTTATCAAAATCCATTCTATGCTCAGGTCCACATCAGAATCAAACGTGAAAATCGGACGAGGCTCTCGGGAAGAGTGTACCATGTGAGCGGTGACAGTGACTCACTGGTCAGGGTTCCTTCCTTTCCTGACCTGTTGGGGGATTCTTGCAACGATAGTGACGTTGTTGGAATCCAGGTAATAATTTATATTCATAATAGAAACGAAAGACACTTTCAGAAAGACATACTTTGGTTTCAACAATAGGTAATGAAGTAAAGTTTTATTTAATCAAGCTTGTATGCACCATCCCAAGTAAGCTGTACTTTCAGTATGGGTATTACAAGGTCACTGTGCTGCTTTATTTATTATTATTTATTTATTTATTAAGTTTTACCACGTACAATATGCAATGTTGATGGCATGGCGAAACAGGTGTTTCTGACATGAAACACCTTTTCAAAGCCGCCATACCAATAAAATGACAAGACAAGACAAAAAGTAATCAAATCACATACTACAATTAGAGAAACAATTGAAAAAACTTAGAACTACAAGGCAAGTCAACTTCTTAACATTGTGTTATTGATTAATGACAACAAATAATTGTTTTCCACCCCAAATAAAAATGTCACTCAAGGTAGATAGAGGCAAGATAATTACCAGATTGTATCAGATACTGCAGTATCAATTTAAAGTCTTTATGAAATAAAGACTAAGCTTTAACTTCCAGCACTAACTAGCAAAGTATTGGGACTTACCCCAAATGCTCGGTTGACTCCATCAACCTTGTTCAGGGAATGGACCAGTCTACTCTTAGAAGTTACCTGGAACTTATGACCCCCTACTACAGTCATGTGTCTCTGAAGTCACGTTCCAAGTGTAAACGGGCCCATGTAGTTTTTTTTTTAACGGTGTCGCTCAATGCAAGGCCAATTATTTTTGGCCACTTCTAGGCATAGAGCTAGAGGTACTTAAGTGAGTATAATGTAGTTATGTCAGGAGATGGCGGTGTCAGGAGATGGCGGTAGACCTTTGTTTTGAAGCGTTGTGGATTGTAATCGGACGGAAAGCAGCTGTTTGGAAGAGAGTTCTATAATTTTGCAGTCCGGGGAAAGAAGCTGTTGTTGTAAAATGACTTGGAGACAGGTATGTTAACGGTGTATTGATGAGAGCTGGAAGAGAACCTAGTGGCACGCTGAAAGGTTTTGAGCGGCGGAACAAGAGGTGCAAGTTCTCCTGAACATCGACCATTAGTGTTGAAAGTTAAAGTTGGAAGTTTCATAATGACTCGCACGAACCAACACGGATGAACTTTCATGCTAATTCAAAGCCTTGTTCTGTTACACTTTTTTTCTCAGTTTCTGGAGTCGAACGTTAACCCTTACGAGTACTCCAACAACTCCCGTGAGATCGGCGCAGACGTCACAGGTCTAGGGGTGAAGTGTGGGAACCGGACTCTTCCGGTCTCCGGTCTAACCGATCCCGTCGACATTCTGACCAGAAGATCTAAGAACAACAGTCTTGCAGAACTGATGTATGTGTTTGAAGCATCTGAACCACGTGGGAACATGGCGGTAGGTTTAGGTTTAAAGCAGTCCCACAGTCTGTAGGAGGTTGTATACTATGGGGGAAAAGAAAGAAGCTATTATAGATATACATGTAGATTTAAAATCATGTTGCACAGCGTTATGTGTAGTTTTCAAGTTTTTGTTGTGATTTTAGTGTTAGTGTTTTAGTAGTACTGTAGTAGTAGTAGTAGTAGTAAGCCTTTATTTAAACTCGAAAGTTTTTTCGGTACATACATATGACCGCTTTTCAACAAGGTCGAGGGTGAGGGCGGGGTCACGGATTACAAATCAAACCAAAATATAATACAAAATCAAAACAGAATGCAAATCAAAGTATAATACAAAATTAAAGAGTAAATCATCAGTACGTTATCAGTCCAAGTTCCTTATCATACTTCTAAATGTTCCCAATGACTGGGCTGCTCGTACATGTGGTGGCAAGGAGTTCCACACAGTCGCCCCCGAGTACCTCAGTGACCGCCTGTACACTTCCAGTTGGGGCCTCGGTATGATGAGGTTGTCCGATGCGCTCTGTCTGGTGGATCTGGAGGCTTCATCTGTATACCGGATGAACACCCCTCGCATATGTGGTGGTAAAGAATTGTCCAAGGCCCTATACACTAGCATGGCTTTATGTTGGCGATGTAGAGTTCTTTTATGTACAATGTAGACGACATTTGGTCGCATTTAGCCCTTCGGGACAGGAATGTGTAATAAACATTGAGCTTTTTCAGGAATATGACATTGGAACCCAGAACAACTGGCTGCTTATTAACCACGAGGCAATGTACATGTATGCTTTGAATTAGGGCATGATACTTTCCAGCATTTAGAACTTTCATTACACTTAAATATAAAAGAAATTTCAAAACATTCTGCTAGCTTTAATTTACAATATTTTGTCTCAGATTTTTCAGTTCTTCGTGAGGAAAAATCACTCTGCATTAAGCATAGAGCTGGACTTCCCAAGCCTGGACCTGGACTTCAACAATACCCTCTTCCCACCTGACGTTACCATGTTACTCCGCAAGGAGGCGCCACCAACACCAGACGAATACGACTGGACTGCGACGCTGCCTGTTCCTGATGAGCAGATAGTTTCCATTCCATGGACAAATGGAACAAACCTGACGTCAAACCCCTATCATTGGCTACTCTCACCAGAGGAAATTAACATCACTACTGAGGATGTGGACACTATGAAAGACTACTTCATTGGTAAGGCCACACCAAATAAATTTTATGGATGACGTCCTTTGGAGACCCTAAATCTAATGCGAGAGGGCGAAAAAAACAAGAAGGACCCTAAAAAACAAGATGCCTAGATAAGAAATATTGCACTGCTGACAGGACCGTCCTGTCTGTTAATAGTTCCAAAAACGGCACTGTTTTGGAACTATTGACAGGATTTTTTTCAGTGCCATTTTTTTTTATTTTTTTTAACCAGACACAGGCTTTCGGCTTTACGGGTTTCACAATCTGACGATTTGCGGCACTGTCGTGACTCTTTGGTCATAATTACAGGAAGCGGAATTTCTTGTTTTTTTTCTAGGAACAGGCCAAAATCAATGCGCGCGCGGACGTCATCCATAAAATTTACACGGTGTGGCCTAAACGCCAAGTAGACACACAGTCGGGCATGTAAAACGTTGGAAATTTGACCAACTGATTGACTTTTATAGCGCGTTGAATTTCTCATCCCACACTACTAACTTCTTGTACGATAGATTACTCTCAATTCATTTTATTATATAGCAAAAGATGGCTGGTTTAGTTTAACAAATCGGTAATCTTATGTCTTTCGTTTATTCTAATAAATTCCATTCAGATTCTAAATCATGCTCATATTTTGGCATGCTCAAATTTGACCGTGGCAACTTTTAAAGCGCATTTTATTTCTCATCTCACACTACTAACTCTTTGTAAGGTAGATTACTCTCAATTCAGTTTATTATATAGCAACAGATGGCTGGTTTAGTTTATCAAATTGGTAATCTTATGTCTTTTGTTTATTCTAATAAATTCCATTCAGGTTCTGAATCATGCTCATATTTTGGCATCAACGGATGAAGGAAGTCCTTGTCTTTGTGGTTGTTACAATAAATAACAAAAATAACAGCCATTTTTATGTAGTAACTGTAAACAATAAGTGTGATACAGATAATTTATAAACATTTAACTTGGACTTTCCTTTATTTTTATCAGGTGTACAGCTCGGCTCTGAGCAGGACCTGTGGAGGGGAGACGTTGTGAACTTCACCCTGTATGTCTTTGAAACATCCTGCGTTTATTTTGACGAAGAACTCCACTTGTGGCAAAGTGATGGCTGTGAGGTATTTATTTGTTCACAAATTTTTTTCGTAAAATTTATACAAAATCACCTGACATCATATGGGAAAGAGATGAAAATAGAATTATATATATGGCTCTTTAACGAGGGTGTATCTGACGTAGCAACTTTCATTTATCGAGCGTAGGGGGAAAAGAAGAAAACACCTGTATTCATAACACACCACTTTTTGCACGTTTGTTTTCTCTTGTATTTTGATCTTATGTACTTGTATATATTTTTTGAGATCTTAGTTCATTATGTACAGATTTGTTCATTTGCATTTGTGATCTGTTATGAGTTCACTTTGTTCCCCATTATTGTATATTATATTATTTGTGTTCATATTTTGTTTGGATTCTGTTATCTGTACCTTTGATTCTCTTTTGTATATGTGTTTTACTCAAACGGTGTCGTATAAGCCCACAAGGGCTGGGCGCGGGAAAGCACACGACACGAAAATAAAGTTTAATTAATTAATTAATTAATTAATTCATTAATTCATTCATATATTTATTGAGTATTAGGCTAAAAGCACAAATTGCTTAAGTGACAATTTCTACTCAAAAACATAAAACGAGAGTTAAACGCAATGACAAAATACATACAATATTACAAAATGGGTAAAAGAAAAATGAGTAGAAACAAGACGAGTTGGTGATCTAACAATTACGAGAATCTACCCGTACAGTAAATGAAGTTTTTGAGCTACGTTACAGAGTTGCAAAAGTGAAAGTGATGTGGACCGTCGTAGCATGCAGTAAAGAACATAAAGAACTGTCATTTAGATGCTGTAGCTCTACAACGTTGGAAACAGATGATAACAGAGTACTTCTTCGACTAGAATAAAGTTTCCAGTGTAGAAAGTAGTGTTCAGTCGTTTCACTATGATAGCCACATGTAGGATAGACATTACAATACTGTTGAAAGTATATTACCTTCTTACTGTGAGGTAACTTGAGGCAATTCCGTTTTCTGCTTTCAACCACATCAGTCATCAAGAAAATGAAGAGTCATCTATAATGGTTATGGCATTTCATAGAAAGTTTACGTTGCAGCCAACTACCTGTTTTTTTTTTAATGCAGAGGTGGTAACACCTCCGCATAAAAGACCACTTGGTCATTATTGTCAGTTTTTGATGGCCTCTCAGATTACTTAAGCCATTGGCCACCTATCTCACTGTAAAGTCTCACCGTGTTACCATCTACATGTATGTTCTAGAGACAGAATTGTCAGATGTTTTACTGTACAGTATGTATTTTGATAATTCCATGTTGATTTAATTATGTGGATGGAATCCCCAAAACTAATGCGAGCTTGCGGATAAAAAAGGTTTGGCCCCCTAAAAAGTTTACTTCATTATGAAATCTATGTGATCAGAAAGGTTAAACAAATTACTAAACACGAAGAGTATGGCAAGGCGAATAATAACAGACTCTTCATTTTCATTTCTTCACATTATCTTTTTTTCCTTAATTGATTTCGGCAGGCATTCTGTGACATTAGATCGTTTTCCAGTCCTTTTTTTTTCAACATTCGTCAACGACATATATTCACTCCATAAAATCAAATCAACCTGGTCTAAGAGATACCAGCGTACAAGTTACTGATGCTTTTTTCTTGATATTAAGCAACCCTTTTATCTTTAACATACCAACTATTGTAGGTTGGTCTGATGTCTAACAGCAGCCACATCCACTGCCGCTGCTACCACCTGACCAAGTTTAGCGGCTTTGTCGCGCCGAACCCTCTCAACATCGCAGAGGCTCTGTCAGCCAACGTTCTGGAGAACCCAGCAGGACTGTTCCTGGTCCTGACTGTGTTTGGAGCCTACCTTGTGGGCATTGTTTGGGCCAGGAAGTCTGACAGGAGGGATGTAGTGAAGGTATAATCCGTATTAGGTCCTGATGGATCAACTCATAATAGTGGAGCAGATAACATCAAATTTTGGAGGAATCTTTCAAATTGTGATACAAGCACCAAACTTGGTACAAATACTCATGAGACATTACTCTTTTGAAAAAGTACGCGGGCCACTTGATTTCACTTTTGGCGCCCCCTAGCGGCGCTTTTTGGTACTGCAGCCGACCTTCCGGGCTTTGTATCTCCTGTTCTAAACATGTTGCAGTCATGATTTTTATGTGGTAGAAAGCTGTTAAAGTAAGGAACAAGTGACGCAAATAATGTCTCATGAGTATTTGTACCAAGTTTGGTGCTTGTATCACAGTTTGAAAGATTATTTCAGTTATCTGCCCCACTATAACTTATAACTATAACAATGTTCTTAGCCGGGGCGGGGGGGTTGGGGGTCTGTAGGTTTGGAAGAACGGCTGAAAGGTCTGATTTTATCGGAAGGTCTAAGATTTTTCGTTAAAACATTCTTTAAACTGATTCGTATCACCAGCGATGTTGTAATCTAAGAAAACTGTTCACTTTGTCCTTGAATAAAAAGTTATGTCAAATTTAAAAAAAAAACTCTGAAAAAGGCAGGAAATGCCATTTCAGAAGGTTCGATTTTCCAGATTTTCAGGGGGACTATGCCTAACGATGATGAATATTCCCCAGTAATCCTTTTAATGACAATATATATATAGAGAGAGAGTATACATTTACGCTTTTTTGGATGATTTCTGATGTTACTTACTTTTATTTAGTTTTGTTTATTTTGTATATTATTTGTTTCTGTGAATTCTGTACTCTGAATAAAGCTGTTTAAAAGAATGTAAGAAAATACAAACAAAATGTGGTAATTAATCTGTTCTAGGCTGGGATTGGGATTCTGCCTGGTCACAGACTCAACCCCAGACAGGACTGTCAGTACCTCATAACTGTGTACACTGGCTTCAAGGGAAACGCTGGGACAACTGCAGAGGTAGGACTGTAGGCTTGGTTTGTTCTGCATAATTCATAATGCACACGCTTCAGTTTCATAAGGTACAGTGGATTCATTCCTCAAGATAACCGACATCCAGAACACCAGAGTCGGCACTCAGTAAGACATTTGGTGGCAAGTCTACGAAAGCCATGCCTTCCGCACTGGTGTTCCAGTGCTGATTCAATAGACAAAACGGCGTCAGCACTGGACGTCCAGTGCTGGCGTCAGCACTGTAACTCCTGTACAAAGCCATGCCATATTGATGGTATAAACTCAAGTGTTTGGGTACATGTACATGTATGTCAAGCTTTCCTGCTCCAGCATTGGAATGCGGGACATAAACGCTTCTTTTTATCTTGAAAATCAACAGTTTGCATTGTGCAATTAAAAATCCTAACCACTAATGTAGGGGGTAGCTATCCAACTGTTGTCACTTCATAATATAATGATATCAATGTAAAGAATTGTTTTCCCTTGTGTTTCTCCTTCTTTCCCTGCCATGTCGTAAAATGTGGTGAAGCCATCCACTACATTTGCTCCAAAACAAATGTCGGCCTTTCAAGTTCTCCCTAAGTTGTGTCAAATTTCACATGTTTTCCCCAGGTAACTATTGTCCTGTACAGCCAAGACCACGAAAGCTGTCCCTTCAGGCTCAGTGATGAGAAGAGGATCCTGTTTGAGAGGGGCAGCGTGGATTCCTTCCTCGTGTCGACGTCTCAGCCGCTGGGGGCCTTACGCTTCGTCCGTGTGTGGCACAACAACGGAGGGTACAGTCCGGGATGGTGAGAATAGATAGATAGATAGATAGATAGATGACTGGTTTATTTGCAACAGGTGCTCAGACATACCGTTGCAGCCTTATCTGGCTGAATTAGGGCATGATACAAATCTTATGTCCATCACAATTCTATACCCTAACAGACAAGGTACTATTACTAATTCATCAAAATCAATTATACAAACATAGGCTAAAGGACAAGGTGCGTACTGGTTAACAATCTCTCTTCATCACAACCAAGAGTGCATAAATTTTGTAGCAAACGCTTCAGGGCAGACGTCACAATTGGGTTCGCAGTAGAGGCCCCAAAATGAGAACATTTGTAGTCCCTAGTTAATATCTCGTGAACATTTTCGGACTTTTGGTTTTTGGACATAATGACAGACTTGAGTGATGAGGTTTGGCCTACCCAGGGCGGATGGATACATGAAAAAATAGGTCAAAAGTAGGTTTTGTTTACTGTTGTCAGCTGTTGTAAGAGTTGAGCTGGTCAACCCCTTGTTTTTAAATATTATTATTATTTCTGTGTTTGGGAAATAGACCCTTTCGTCTATTTTGCGGAAGAATTTTTGAGATTGAAATGTGACAATTTAAAAGTACTTGGGGACTTGCGTATTTAACCATAGGTTCCTATGACCAAAGGTAATTGTACTGTCTATGGTTGTCCATATATTAGAGGGGAACTTATTAATACTAAATCTTATCTCTAATGCAAACTATTAGGTTTCATTTATTATTGTCTCTTGATGTTGGATACCGGTATGACATACAGCTAGGTCCTGCCTAACTTTTGTCCGTCTTTTTTTTCTTCACATTGTTTGCAGGTTCTTGAGCCAGATTGTAGTGACAAACCGGGGAGACAACACACCGAACTTCTTCATTTGCAACAGGTAAGACAACCTACGGTACTACATGTATATTTCACTGCTGCAATGGATAGTCCTTGAAATACCAGTGCACCAGCCCTAACTTTAAGACGAGGTGTTAACACTAATTATGTTTACCTTAAATTGGAAAGTTAACACTGTGTTTTTTGCTTTGTTTCTTCTTCTTCGTACTTTTTCGTTCAAAACAAGTGATCTGGACCAGCCGGCTGTCACCATATGCATGGTAACTGGTGATGTAGCAGATTCCCTCTGATTTTAGGTTATATTATGTAGTAAGACAACTGGAGGGACTGCTCACCTTACACAATTAATGCGTTTGAGCAAGAATATATAAACAGGGTTTGCAGTTTGTTTTACAAATGGTAAAAATGAATTTTGCTGTACAAATGTTACAAAAATTTAATATTTTCCTCCCAAAGATGGTTTGCTCTAGACAGAGATGACGGTCAGATCAGTCGAGTCCTTATTGAAGCTGATCCAGACGAGATGAAGAAATTCCGCAACTTGTTCCTGGCCAAAAGTTCAAGGTAGACTTTTTCCGTGTTATAACTTGTAATGAATCAACCGGTGTACAGAAAGTGCGAAATGGAACGAAATGGAACGAAATGGGACGAAATGAAACGAAATATGTATGAAGTACGTTAGAACGGCGACGTTAGTGTCCGCTCGACGTCCAACGTTGGAACGGCGACGTTAGTGTCCGCTCGACGTCCAACGTTGGAACGGCGACGTTAGTGTCCGCTCGACGTCCAAACGGCAACGTTAATATTGGTGGTATTCTTAGAACCGCAACGTTATAAGATCGATCAGGGTGCGCTAAAAATAAAGTAACCACAACATTATAAAATCGATCAGGGTACGTTAATAATAAAGTGAGTTTTGAGTTGAGCAATAAAATAGTTTTTTTTCTTTGTGTAGTAACTTGTTGCGGCATTATTTTAGCCGAAATGTTTCGTCCTTGTTGTCGATGTTCTGCCACAAGAAGTGTTGCCGATCTCAGAAACAACGTCCAGAGGAAATAAAGAGACAACTGCAGAATAAGTGTTACTCGCGTGGATGTCTAAAAGTAACTTGTTGCGTTCAAGAAACACTGGCGGTTCATGCGCTAAATGCTTGTATTTTGGCACCAACCACGCAGTTAGAGAGAGCCTACTACTGTTGTTACAGGTTTTCCATTCATCAAATGAATATCTAACAAATCAACTAATTCTTTAATATTTTTTTGTGTTATTGCCACATAGGGACATGAGTGATGGTCACCTGTGGTTCTCCGTGGCAGGCCGGCCGGCCCGGAGTCCCTTCACCCGAGTCCAGCGGCTGTCCTGCTGCCTGACGCTGCTCTACAGCACCATGGTCACCAACATCATGTTCTTCGGCCGCGGGGACGAATTCGACCCGCCTGAGCCCATCAGGATAGGTGGCATAGAGATGGACCCACCCATTTCCCTTCCACAGGTATGGAATGTGATTTGATTTATTTGCACATAAGTTATAAAAGAAAGGTTTACAAAACATGATACAATGGACTTGAAAGTAAACGTGGAGGGTGGGGGAAAGGGGCATAATGGCTTGTTTGATATTTTCCACCATCATGATCTTACATCATTCAAATGTGGTCAAATCAAATATAAATGACAATGAATAAGTAATGGGAAAGTACAAATGAATGAATTTAATTTGTTTATATTTATTTCAATTATTTTGATTTTAAATACAAAATAGATAGGTTTTGCAATAAATAAATAAAACATTACAGTGAATCAATGACAGGCTCAGCTCTGTCCCAGAAATAAATTTCAATTGTCTCGAAGTGAGGATGAACTGGGCCAACCTGTTTTTCGATATTTGAGTATTGTACGACTTCAACTTGAAGTCAACTTTATTGTGCTTATACGTTCTGACTCCCAGCTCTCATGATGCGCTATAACTGAAGAGCAGACAGGAAATTAGGGGGGGGGGGGCTCGTCACTGAATGACATCCAGTAAATTTCTAGCGGAGACCAATCAGAGGGCTGCTGAATAATTTGAATAATTTATCAAGGCCCACGGACGCGGTTCTTTCACTTGTAAAGTAGCCAATTACCACCGAGCCGGTGGCACACGATGGGCGAAAGCATGTATTTCACACCCATTGTACGTCGACATAAAGCGCTTATACATTACAAACAGAATTTTCGTAAGTAGTATATAGTCAGCACGCTGCTATTATTTATTCAGGCGGTGCAGGCGGTGCGAGGCGGTGCGGGTCAGAGGTCACCGTCATTATGCAAAGGATATGCAGATGTATGCAAATGTAGGCGAATGTATGCAAATTTTAGCTAATGAGCTAAATTGCGGGTCAGATAAAGGTCAGTGTGCACTTTTGACCCCGGTAACCTGGGAAACCTGTCGTCAAGGCAACGATTTTTGAAGGATGATACCACGCCTACCGCCATTGTTACTTTGACAGTAAGCTATTCAACAGGACAGCGGGACCGTCAGGATTGCATCATGAAGTGGGGGCGTGGTTAAAGTCAACGTCTGTAGTAGCTGTTTGGCCGCATGGCAAGCGTTGGTGACTTGCTCTGAGGATCCGGAGTAGTCGATTGGTCTGCATGTGAAGTAGGTGACGTACTTCACGGCGATTGGTGGACGGTCTGTGGGAGTCGGTCAGAAATTGTATAAAGTGGCAACAGAAACCGGCGAGAAACCAGTGCCACTTGCGGAGCAAACCTTTCGTACAAATCCGTCGACAGCGAGGGAAGATCGAGACAAAAAAAGCCATGGCGTATCAGCAGAAGAAGCAGCAGCAGAAGCACAAGTCTTCACTGGTGTGTGTATGTATGTGTATGTATGCGTGTGTATACATATATCGATATAAACGTGTTG